AAAAAGCATCCCGTTGTGCTCCATTCTCCCCTGTTTCTTATATTGAGGACATGTTTGATGTCTTATTTTTTTAGGATGATTATTTATATTTGTTTATATTATATAATGTGGGTTTTTATGTAGCCCAATATCTTAAGTTTGGATCTAATAAGTCAAAACTGTACACACGCACATGGCTGTCACTGAGCTGAGAGTTGAAGATTAGCTTCTTATTTTTTATATTAACAGCCATAACATGCATTTCTCTTGGGTCTCAAGATAAAATACCAATCTAAAAGAAATAACAATGAACTGATCCCTTTTTTAATCAGCTTACCCATAGAGATATCATCAGCTCTTATTATTTCAGGTCTTAAACTCAAACCGGAGAGCTTGTGCAGATACACCAAAGAGCAGAAAGTCAGTGGCCGTATAAACTCTATGGTGAACATGATTTCACCAAGTACAACATGTTCAACATCTTTGTCGATCATGGCACAACATTCCAATCAATCATCAGATTTGATTGACAAGTTTAGAGTTTGTGTCAAGTTTAAGCTTACAACAAGTGTTAGGTGTTTCTAAGTCAGTGTTATCCACCTATCATTTCCCTCTGATTTTAGGGATAAGTTATGGGTAGGTTTATAGGGTTATACAAAATTTTCAGATAGGAATGTTGTTCCAGGAACATGTCTTGGAAAAATCACAGTGTATTCTGAAAATCCGAAGACCTACTTTACAATGTCTAAAACCTGTAAAGGGATGTAGTAAACCGACAAAAGTGTTAAAAACATATATAGCACATGCACTTTATAATGCCGAAAATGCCTATGGTCACCTCAAGGAGTCGGCAGGTCCACAAATCTTTGTCATTTGTCTCCAGGACGTGTTTCTGAAATTAGGCCATTTCCACAAATAACCGGCTGATGATTCATTAGACGCCTGTTGGTTTTTGTTCAAACTTTCCATTGATAGACCAGCTATTGTGATTTTTGTTTGATCTTCTTATTAATCACCAACTAGGTGGTGATTATCTTTATGAGGGTCAAATGTAGTGTCATTTTTGACCACAAGGAGGAACAAAACAGTTTATCTATGAGAAGTGATCAGACCAGCTGATTTAGGATCATTTGGAACACATGCATTTGTAATCCACGTATCTATCTAACTTCTATGCATGTATATGTGTGTATAGTACAATTTTTCCCCTGCCGCCTTCACAAACAAATCAGCCGTAACCCTGTCTAAATTTATTCCAGTTCAAAGTCACACGAGGGGGAAATGCTCTGCATGCTTGGAAATGGAGGCTGTGGGAGAAAGGTGGGGGGTAAGGGGCTCTGTGGTCCAGAAAAGAACCAAATGGGGCTAACACTCCTTCTTTCTCCTTCTGCACCTGTTGCCCAAGAAGTCATTACAGACACAGTCATCAGCAAAATGATGTAGGAGACCTTTAGTTCCTCACCTCAGAACATCCTCACAAGTGAACTCACTTAGGCAGACTTTAAAGGAACAGTTCGCCCAAAAATTCTGTCATTATTTACTCAACCTCATGTCATTACAAAGCTGCATGACTTACTTTGGTAGAACACAAAAGACATTTTTATTTTATGTATATTTTACCTTACCATGAAAGTTAATGAAACGTGTTCTGCGGAAGAAAGTCAGTCATACAGGTTTGGAACAACATGGGTGAGTTGTCCCTTTAAGAACCTATACTGGTATGTCGTCATGGACATATCAAAAATTGTACATTTTTCTTCTGTTTTATTTTTTTACTAGGATTATCTGTTGTTATTAATAGCCAAGCGGTCCATCTCTCCCTAGTAGCAGGAGTCGTGTGGTAGGGGAGGGATGAGACACATAGGGACGCACTGCCGACCCTTATCAGATATCACAGCTCAAGGAGCCGAAAGGTCCGCAGATCCTTGTCACTTGTCTGCAGGACATATTTCTGTCCAGGTTTTGCTTTTCAGCACAATCTATGGTTTCAAGTCATGTTGTCTTGGCAGTCTTTGAAGCCTTTGCAAATAGTATAGATTCCATGGGAGAAAGTTAAGGACCACCACCACCCCCTGACAGTCAGGAGGTCTTTCCAAGTATTTATAATCCCATCTCCTTGGTGGCCTTGAAGAAGATCGGCTTCAAATTTGGACACACTTTTTATTTATGTTTTTACACATCTTGAGATCCATTTATTTATGTGGATCTGACTGATCAGCTGTTGGGCTATTTAAAGGGATGATCTTATATTACGGACAGACTTCATACAAGAGATTTGTTTTATGTGTGTGTGTGGTTGGTGATGAGACTACAGTTATCAACATACAGTGTCGAACAACTATAACAATTAAATTCATCAGCTATAGCTTCAGAATTAAATATTTAACAATTCCACACTGAAAAATAAAATTCATGATTTTTTATCCAACTTTTTTTCTTTTGTCAAATCAACTTAATGTGATTCAATTAACATATTTTTTTTTAGTTCAACTATTAACATTGTATTATTTTAATGAACTCCAAATTTTAAGGTAACAGTAACTTACTTTTTTTAAGTTAAACCAACAACATATATTTTATTTTACAGGATACTGTTTTCGAAATGAATTTAATTTAAGACATTTAACATGTTTGTTTACGTTTTGGCTTTGATTTTATTTAATTTTGGCACATAAATACATTCTTTTCTGAGTACTTTCTACACACTTGTGGATGACAAGTGGTTAACTGAAAAGTCAAACAGAGGGCACAATCTGTTGGTTCTCTCGCAATGAGTGCACTGAAACCTTGCATGTCTGTGGGATGAAGTTCTGAGGTAGTGAAATCAGTCCTCTCAGCATGGCATTTCCCTTGCTCGCTGAACTCTGTAATACATTAAGGCGAACTCTTGTGCAGTTGGGTTTAAGGAAATCTTATCTAGTGACTCACGTTTAGGTGTTTATGTGCCAAATGGTAACCAGGGTGCCATGTGGAATTTATGAAAGACTGGTAGGACTGTTTTTTCATTCGGCTTTTTTTGTCCCAATTGTGCCTTTTGCAATGAACAGAATTTTAGATTCAGCTCAGTTCTAAGTGACACTTGTTGACGTTAGGGATGTTTCCATTCAGCATCACATCCTCTGAATATTTAAAGAAAATGCAGTTCTCGTGTTTTTACTAGATTGGCAAGGGGTACATAAGGGTCACTGTGAGGGCACAGTTAGTGGGAGTGGGAAACTTGCCCCCTGCATGGGTGGTGAACCAGCCGCTGTCTCACCACAAGCCTAGACATGCCCTAGATAGACAAATGAGAGTAACTGCTCACTGCTCTGACTCATTTCAGTCCTTTCAAACCATCTGTGAGAATGTGTGTGTGTGGTGTCCTCGTGTCAAACACAGGATCTTCACTGGCCTTTTACTGCACAGCAAACAAACAAAACTACAAAATGCAGAACAGTGCATTAACACAAATAGCACAGCTCTCTTCCGTTGGGTGATTTTGATGATACTGTAAAACGTTGGTGCAACATCAGAATCTTCGTTTCTTTTTTTCCCTGTTTAAAGGTGATGCGTATATACACTATATATATATATATATATATATATATATTTATTTTTTTCTTGCACGCATTATTATTGTTTATTGGTGGGACGTGTATTTATGTATTTAGTTATGTATGAGTATTTCTTTATTTAGGGGGATTAACTTTTTATATTTTCTTTTAAAGAAGATGTGTGAATTGATTTTATCTTTTTTGATTATATAAAAATATTTTTGTAATACTTTTTTGAAAAAGTAGTTTTGTTTCAATTATGACGTGTATTATTTTTTGGGACACATAAACATTTTTATAAATAAATAAACAAAACAAAATGAGGAATTTTTGACTTGTATTATTTATTTTAAAATAAAATAATACATGTCAAAAATTCAATGTCTGAAAATTGTTTTTTCTTTATTTATTTACAAAAATATTTATGTTTTTATATTTATAATAATTTATAATAAATTATTTTATATGAATATATATTTTCTTTAATGATGATAATTATGAATATAAATAATCTGTAAGTTAATATGTAAAAGGTGATGTCTGTTTCACAATTACATGTTTTTCTGCTATAGTACCACAAAAATGACACACTTCACCTTTAAAGACCTATCTGTGGATGTCCTCGTGTTCAGATCACAAGGATTAGATGTGTATAAGTTAGATTGCTAAAAAAAAACAGTCTAATCTTATGCAGTCGTGTGCTCATGCATTGTCCTCATACAGGATGTCCTGGTTGGTATCTGGCAGGGCACTATCAGGAGTTGTTAGGGTGCCTTTGACAAAGAAAAGAAGAAACTACAAGACAAATCCCCTCACCAGATGTTACCAGCTTTTGAAAAGGTGCCTGGGAGCTTTCTCGTCTTGCACTTTCCCTCCCCTCGTCTTGTCAAAAGATCAAATTGTTTTTCTTCCTCTCTTTATCATGCAGCCTCATGTGGATCTGCCTTTTTAAAGGCTCTTGACTCGGACTGTGACAGGTCTCTGTTCGGATGGGGCTGGCCACAGTTATGAGTGCTTGTCTCCTTTTTTTGATCTCTGCCCTCTCTTTTCTTCTGACGGGAAGGTAAAGTTTACTCGTCTTATTTGTCTTTTACTTCTTATGGTAAATGCAGAGCAGTGTGCCCTCCACTTGGAGATTTTATGGTGTTGATTCTCATGCATGGAACAGTCGAGTCAAGTGTCAATAAGAGAAAGGCTTCACTCCAAACAAAAGCAGCTTGTGAATGGCAGGGTGAAATGAGAGCACAGCTGGGCACACACACACACGCAAACAATACAGGGTGATACTCTCCACATCATGTTTCCTTGGTGAATTAATCCTTACAAGCTTGCTAGCTAGTGAATGTTGATTCAGCTCTCAAGTATCTTTTTTTACATTAGGAATTTTGAATAATAAAAAATAATCATTCATAAAAAAATATACAATTTTCTCATTCACATATTTTTTATGCAAATTACATAAGAACTTTGGATGGGCACACCAAGATAAACCTTTCAGTAACTGTCTTTATTAACGTCAAGCGCCTGGTGGAGGAATGTGGCATCTTCCTCAAAATACTAGCGAACATGAAGTTTGTCAGCTAAACCAAAATGAATTAATACATTTAATAAAAGTATTTTTTTATATGTGTATGCATTAACAATATACACATACAATAACATTATTGTTCTCTTGAATGCGTGACATGAAATTCGGCTTTATTCGCTTTTAAAAAAATATTTTTTGGGGTGTGTGTGGGGGGGGGGGGGTGATGATGGGGCTCCCACCCATTCATTCATCCATTTATCATTTTCACTTGCAGTCAGTTTCTTCACCCAAAGGCACAAACCACACATGGTGTTAGTCATATCCGAGAACAGCACCAAATCAGATGATGAGACACAAGTGAAAATGTGAGATTTCAGGTACGATAGTGCTCTTTGATTCGAGAGGGCTTGTGCGAAAGCTTGTTTGCGTTTGTGGTTAGGAGACAGTCTGTTTGCGTACATTGCAATGGATGTGGGTATGCGAACGAGAGATACCACCCGAGGTTTCCGCTCCGAGTGTCAGTGTTTGTTTGCTGCTCGCTGCTTCCTGCCTCACTGTGTGCTGGTGAAGAGGATCCCTGGAGCAGAACCACCATATTGATCGTTTCACCTATCCCGCTGCCTACCGCATTGTGTCTTGCCTTTTCTCCCCAGCCAATCAATACCTCTTTGTGTCCGTCCCTGTCCATTGACAAATCACTCAGGTCAAATGCTTTTCTGTACTGCTGTCAGTCAAACTGAAGGTGACTTCGTCTTTTCCTCATTTGACACTCGCATCGCATGTAGACACGCTCATTGTTCACGGTCGGCCCAGATTTAGGGGTCTTATCAGCGTAAAGTTGATTTGACTCTCTTCAAACTAAAGTAGCTGATCCAATCTTGGGTTTAAATGTGAGATTACTTCCTCTAAGTGCTGTTTTGGAGGTGGACCAGTGTCTGCCTGGCTGCACTCCTGTTTGGTAGATCTATGTCTTCCGTCCATTGACATCAGCACTTGTTATATCTTTTACGGGTCCAGCTCACCAGTATCTGTTTATCACATTTAACATCCTATTCTTTTGATGTGGCCACTTGCCACGGCCTCCATGTTTCCATGGCCAGCTCCAAGCAAGCTTAGACACAACAGTTTGCAGAGGAAGACAACCCTCAGCAGCCTCTCATTTCCTATATTGTCTGAGGTGATTCCGATTTAGGGAAAGTTTATTGTTCGCATGTTGCTTTGTACCGCTGGGCCTATCAGTCTGGAATGTCACACTTCCCGTGGAATATTTTTAGACCGGACCTTAAATTCAAGACAGTCTTGGATGCACATCTTTTATGTGAATGCGGTGTAATTCAGAAGCATACGAAATAAAATAAAAAAACATGTCTGAACAGCCTTTTGTCATCCATGACATTTTATGACAAATCAATACATAAACTGTCAGACGCCTGCATTGGGTCACTTCCTGAGGGACTGTTTGCTCCCAGTGGGGTGTCTGGCAAGGGGATAGAGGGGGCATTCTGGGGTCCCTGACCCTTCTTTAGGATGGTTGAGAGTCGACTAAGACTAGTAGAAGTTATCAATGGAGGCGACCATCCAGTAGACAGGAGCACTGATAAATAAAGTGATGGAACAGGGTTAACAAGACATATTTAGGGAGTATTGTCATTTCTGGAGAATGAATGGACAAGAACAAAAATCTTGGAAGAGACTTCTTTCAGCCTTACACCATGAAACCTAGATAAACTTTGACTTTCTGTCCAGCAGAGGAAACATCTGGGGATAGACAATAAAGAATGTGTGTGAAAAAGCAGAAGAGACACCCCACCCCACCCCCATTCTGCTTCCCCTCAATTTTGCGTTCTTGCGTCTGTTGAAGGTTTGCTACTCTTAGCTTATTAAAGGCTATCTCTGACATAAAACTTGCTTCAAATCGATTGGGGTATGTCTGAAAATAATGAGTCGGATGATGATTCAGTAACTGCTCTGAGGTGTGTTTCCCATACAATGATGTTACTCACTGATTAACTTGTCATGACTGTTTGCCGAAACTGTTAACACGGTCGCACCTCTGCCGTTTGAACCAAATTGGTTCATCAATATAAGACTGTGTTTAATAACTTCAAGCGCAGGTGGAGGAGTAATAACTTCTGCTAATTAACCTGTTCAGAATCTCTAAGATCCTGGCTAATGATGCTTTTGGGAAACGATTGATTGATTCAGTTCAGAGTGGAATCCTTCATTCAGCATTCAGATTCATTCTTCATTCATTAAAAGAACTGACTCATTTGTTCAGAAATCAGGCAGAAAACTAGAAAGCTGTTTAAAAACACTAGAGCAGTGTTCACTTTACATGTGTTGGTGTCCTATAAACCCGCAATACACAGCTGCTTTTGACCAGATCTTTCCCTTAGTTTAGTTATGCCACGCAAATGTGTGATGTTCAAAAACCGATAAAATGACCGGTAACTTTATTTTGATGGTACTTTTTGAACATGTTGACTATCAGTAACTTTGCAATTACATGCCTAACCCTAACCCTACCAGTCTACTAATACTAACTTCTAAGTTAGTTGACATGTAGTTGCGTTAGTCAACAGAATGTGAAGGGACCGTTATGTGATAATAATGTGAAACCAAATTGCCACTTATGTGTGTAACCACATCCACATTCTCCAACATAAAGGTGTATTAAAATGCTTTCTCTAAAATCTCTTAAAAAGCATGACGAAAATGGCATTCGCGTTTACATGTTCCTGAATGCGGGAACGTTTTAAGTTGCCCTGTATGTTTTTGATTCACTAAAATAATGATTCATTAGAGTCAATTGTTTAGAAACCAGACTGCACTGGTTACCTAACTGTGGTTTTGATTCATTAAAAAGAATCAGTTCACTGTAAAAAAAAAAAAGTATTTTCAAGAGTTTTTATCACAACATTTTGTTATTTTGTCAAATCAACTTAAATATTTTATTTAGTTCAGATAACTTATTATTTTGAGTTTCTGATGATTAAATCATTCTCCTTCATTGTATTAACTCACTTTTTCCAGTTCAATCAACTTAAAATTTTAAGGCAACCAGGTTACTTATTTTTTTTAAGTTAAACCAACAATATTTTTTACAGTGTTGATGAAAGTAATTTATTTGTAAATTGGACTGCACTAATAATGTTTTGATTGATTTAAAAGAACCGGATCATAAGAGTCATTCGTTTGTGAATCTGACTACGAGGGCAACAACAGAAAGATGGTGCATCACATTTGATACAAACGGCAAACTTACATTCTGTTATAAAATGTGATTTTATTTATTGGTCGGTTATTTTTTATTACAAGTTGTGCAGTTCACTATGAATACTCGGCTATTTGGCGTATAAGAAGATTTATAGAGTAAAAATGGTTGGCCTGCATGTCAGTATTTTTTTTTCTTTTCTTTCCATTCATTCATTTTTTATCCATTGTGTCATGTGGAGTTTAAGAAGAGGGCTCTTATCCCTATTCAGTGTTCACTCCCAGCCCCCCATGAGACAAAAGTCTGTGATGACATCACCTAGTTTTCTCAATGAGTAATCCTCAGGGACAGCTCATGAGATGTCTTATTCAAACTCAGATTATCTCTGCAAATCCAGTTAGTGGCGAAACTGTGCTACTTCCTCACAATACTTTAACTTTTTGTTTTTTATTTCCATCCTTTTTTCTTCCTTTCATATGTGTTTCTCTACTTGTATTTTTGGGTGGAAAATGTTGTGAAATGCAAATAAGTTTTTGGTCAATAACTATTAACTGCATCTGCTTTTATTTGTCTTTGAGCCAGTTAATTTATTCGCCCATTGTTGTTTTCACATTCAGCTCTGGGTCAGTGTGCAACCACAGTTACCTTGTCACTCATTCATTTGCTTGTCCAATTCAGAGGATTAATTATGCTAATCAAACTTAATGCCACACGTGAGCTCTTAAAGGAGCAGTTCACAGAAAAATACTATATAAAGTTGAATAAGGGAAGAGACTGCTGGGTAATTTGACAATACTAATAAGGAGGAAGCATTAGTGCTGTGAACCCGTTCATTCCAAAAACAAAATAAAATACTAATTATATAAATAATCTGTATGATTGGTTGTCTCACACTTAATAACATTCTTTGAAAATATTATTTTAGTGAAAGTAACATGGAAGCATATTTCAAGTAATATGAAAGGAAAAGTAACATGAAAGCATATTTTCATGCTTTGAAAATATATTGCAAGTGAAAGTAACAGTACAGACCTTTGCTTACAAAAAAAAAAATGCTCTTTGATTTGGGGATCTCCAGACACGTAAGATATTAAAATAAAATAAAACCTTTTGGTTTCTTCCGCTATTTAATTACTGCTCGAGTTGTCTAGTGATCAGTGTTTCACTTATAGTTATAACAAACTATAAGTATACTATACAATTATATAACTATAGTTATAACTACTATAGTTATAAGGAATTATTGACGACGGGCTGTTGAATTGTCAGAAAATTATGCTTACCTAAGACGGTAGTGCAGCAACGTCGTGAAGCCAAGTGTGCATTTTGCAAGATGTAAACAACACGTCCAGAAACACTTCCTGTTTCAGTTTGTAAATGGCTTCTTTATTTCAATTGTAAAGAAAACATCTTAAAGCTGTGTGTTTAACTTTTTGATTCAGTTGTAAATGTTCTGTTGGTTGTATTTTATTCCAACGTTTATGTAGAGTTAAAAAACTGAAACAGGAAGTGCTTCTGGACCAGTGTTGTTTACATCTCGCAAAATGGTCTATCCTATGGTTAACAAAGCCTCAAGAAGACATTGTTCAGATGTTGTATTTCAACTCATCTCAGAGAGAGAGAGAGAGAGAGAGAGAGAGAGATTAGGCGTGTGTGAATTACTTGGGTTTGTGCGTCTCTCAACAGTGTTCGGCTGCAGTGTATTTAATTTTATCTACTTCAGTAAATGCGTTGTATTACCTTGCAAGTGAGAAATATCATATAGCCTATAGCTTTTAAGTTGCTAAACTATTTTACTAATAAAATCATCAGAATAGCGCTGACAACATGCTTTTGTTAGCCCGACTTCATCATACTCATATTCTAGACAGAATGAGAGTCTGATACTCCTCCATGGGACTTTGACTGTGGGGTGTGTCTTAACCGAACCAGGAGAAAAACACCTCTGCACTTAATTGGATAGACCTACAACCAATCAGAGAAATGCAGAAAGTGTTTTTTTTTTTATGAGCTATGCAAAGTTGTTAACTGAACTCAACTAAACGCACGCTGGAAGAAGTAGTAAAATAATGAGTGTTGCTTTTACTTGGTCCTCAATGAGTGCGACCAAAGGAGAAACCACAACGACCGCAGGGTTTTTATTGCGTCCCATCTTCTTAGCAACCATCGTAGCCAGCTGATAAATTCAACTTTTGCCGAATCACGTAGGAAGGACAGCAAACACATCTTTACGATCGACAAATGCCTTGATTGCAGTTCTCTTTTCCTCTTTTAAAATTAATGCGCTGTCGATTTCTTTTACTACAGACTCTCCAGCTGCAATTATCCAGTTGCATTCATCTTTGAGGGAAACCAATTCAACCCAAACGCTCTTTGATAATGTGATAATTACGTAACTGCAGATCATCTGTCCATCATCGTATAAAGCCTGCCCTGGCAATTTGATTGGCCTGACTAATTCTGAACCGATCATAATGGGCTCATAACCGATCATAACCGATTTTTTTTTTTAATTATATTAAATAAACATAACTATGTATAAAATTACATCTAAACGTATGTACGTTTTGTTTCAAAGACGGGAGGACAGTAAATTTTGAAGACTCTGCCATAATCCCGTTTTCCTCGGTTTTCCTCCGCTTTAATCTCCACAACCGGAAATGGACGAGCATCCTTGCGCCAAATGCGAAATTTATGCGTGCATATAGCCCATTACTCATCAATGGATCGAGTCCAGATAGAACTTAATCCATTGATGAGGTGGTGATGGCGCTGTGGATAAGACACATGCCTGTGGTGTGTGAGACCCGGGTTTGACCCGGGTTATCCAATTGTTTACTGTATTTATTTGCTTGGTCGGTGTTGTTGTGGGTTTTGATTATTTTGCTGTTGTCGGCTGTAAAGACCTTTGAAATAACTGTAATCGTTTGGCTAAGTGATATGGATCTGTAATACAGTCAAGACCTGCCTGGAACTACTTTAGCCATGTGTTTCCCTGTCAATATATGAAGAGTTCAGATGCAAAAGCCTCTAAATGCCATTTGAAATTTTTTTCTTTAATGATGATTTTTATCAAGCTTGTATATTTAAGTTTAGTAATTTCACTTAAATAACAATTAATAGGTAATTATCATTGCCATTTAAGTGAAATCACTAAACTTAAATATACAAGTTTGATCAAAATCATCATTAAAGAAGAAAATTTCAAATGGCACTTAGAGGCTTTTGCATCTGAACTCTTCATATATATATATATATATATATATATAAATTATATATTTATAGAGAGAAGGTATGTTTAAAATAGCATTTCATGAATCAGCTAACAGTTGTTCTCTGGAGAGAACAGTGTTTTGGTGGTGCCAGGAGCCCTCGAAACTCATGGCTTAATATTTATTAAGTTCATTCATTTTATTCAGTAGTTTTGTAATTCAATCAAACCATGTATTTTCTATTTTTAGTTAGTGTTATGGTCTTGTTTTCCCTTTACAAGGAGGCTGTTCACACTCTCTCTGTGACCATTAAAGTATTGAGTTTCCGCACAAACTCCAGGGGGTAAACCAGTCCACTTTAAGCATCCCAAGAATTCAGATACTTGGCACCCACTGCATTTAATAGTCTCTCAGCAATTGTCTTATCATTCCATGGGAAAGACTGGCATAACTCTTCTTACTGGCATAAGATCTTCCGAAGACGAGAAGACGACATGTTCAGGAATCTGCGAAATGTACTACAGCTGCAGTAAATATGTTCTCATGCGTGGTCACAGTTTTGGAAAAATGACTGTGAAAGATGTAGGCTATCGCTAAAAAAAGATCACACTACTAGCATATCAGATCTTTACATTGCTGTCGCTTTATACTCTAATAGAGGCAAGCTGTCAGTAATGTCCGTATAAATGTAGGAGCAGGTGGTAAAGAGGCCTTTGTTAATCACTTAATGATGAATTCTTCACTTTACATGGTGCCTTTGGGGCCTCTGTTTTACTCCTTGTGCACCGGCTGTAGAAACTTTATAAAAAGTTTATTTTAGCATGAAATGAGTAGGCACAGATAAATAGCCTGCTTGAGGGTTTTGTCATCCAATGCAGTCAGGGCTATTGGGGGTCTTCTGACCAGGCAGGTTGGGACCATATGTCATCATTCCTGGGCTTTGTGTGGGCGTGTCTCTGTGGCAACCGCATCAGCTGTGGCCATTGTGTGGCTGGACTCAATAGCCCATATATTCATTGCTAGCCTATTGCAGGCCCTGCAATAGAAACAAATTGATACATACAAGCTCCGACCCCATTGAGATCACATGACACATTTGAAATTAACAAAAAAGGAACATTTTAGCCTGTTGAAAATCTTGAGAAAAGATTGGTTTCCATGGAGACTAGGCGGCTGGCCCTCTACGGCCCATTAAATTCGAATCAGATGTAAATTTCCTTTGCCCTGAAGTCACTGTCTTGTAGCCCCCTCCGCAGCGCAGACACAAATTAAACAGTTTGTTTGCCAATTCACGTGTCATTTTAATGGCTTTTTATGCGTCTTTCCTTTGTTTAAATGAACAGAATAACAAACCGTCATTGATTTATAATATCTAGCCACTTAAGAGGCCTGTCCACAAGGCCTTTCACAATAACAGGGTAATTAAAGAGGATTAGAGGTGGAAACCTTTCATTCGGATACGTGTCATTTATAGATACACTTACATTTCCGAGACTGAATATGATTGTGTAGAATTGTCACATAAATGTCAGGATTTTGGGGAGGATTTTTTTTTTTTTTTACTTGTCTTAATAAAAAATAAGAACTATTTAAATAATTTTTTTATTTAATTTTACAATTAAAGTAATATTAAAATTCTACATCTCTCCTAAACAGTAAAAAAAAAAAAAAAAATAGGTTTAATAAAAGAAATGTTATCTCAGACTTTTGGACTCCATTGCTCATTATAATACTACTTTTTCAATGCAATGTCTTTGTGAAAATGAACATAAGTGTGAAATCATCCCACTTAATCCAACCTTTGCACTTCAAGATCTCATTTGTGTGTGTTAGAATTCATTGTGGTGTTTAGTTTGACACAGATTTCTAGTGCTACTTGTGTGTGCTTCTGTAGCAGACCATAAATCCAGATCCTTTCAGTGTCTTGTTAATGAGTTCTGGTCTGGGCGGCATTTTTTTTCTACTTTCAACTGACTTATTTTACAGCCGTCTGTGCTTGTTTCTCTTATGTTGCTAAAGAGACTGTTCCCGTCCCCTGATGGCCCTGAGATCACTCTCACAATGGGCAGCTTTTCTGTTTCCCCTTTTGTGGATTTTATTTCTCAGAAGCTGGATGGCAGTCAGGAAGTTGTGGCATGGAAAACGAGCAGTTTTGAGCCACTGCTGGCTGCCTCCTCCAGAACAGGAAGTGATGTGCCATTCTGATTGAGCAGAGAAAATATTTTGCTTGACTCGTTGGCGGGAGATTTGCTCAAGTACGGCAGGCTGTACAGTGTGTCTGTTTGTCTTGGGTTGTGTGCATTTTCTCTTTCCTTCTGTTATTATAATCATTAATGTCATTAAACAAGAAGGTTTATCCTGTGATGAGATGAGGTCGCTGGTGTGGCCTCAGCTCACAGGATAACATTAGTTCATTATATCTGATCTGGCTCAACATCACAATCAACATCATTTTTATTTTCAAGTTTGCTTTTCTGCCAGTATGTTCTCTGTACACTACACTCTGCTGTGAGCGAGTAAGACATGCTGCTGCTCTACAATATAGCGTACATGAATTACCAACGCATTCTCATCTCAAGGCGTCATATACGACAATTTTGCCAAAGTGTAGACATCCAACGCACATGGCACCCTTTAGCGTCAAATGAGACGCTTCGGTTGGTAGGTTTAGGTATGGGGTAGGGTTAGTTTTAGACCACTAGGAGGCGCCTTCTACCCCATATATATCTGTGTCTCATTTGACGCTAAAGGGTGCCATGTGCGTTGGATGTCTACGCTTTGGCAAAAGCATCGTATATGACGCCTTGGGATGAGAACGGGCCTGAATGGGCTCTATGCACGGCGTTATTTCCGGTGAAGGATTAAGGATGCTCGATAACTTCCGCCGATCATAGAGTCCAATGCAATACCGAGAATTTATATTGAATTTTATACTCCATGGTTATACTAATGAAACGTTAGTCACAAAAACAGATAAAACAGACACCCCTCGTTGTGTTAATGCTTCTTTTTAAAATTATATTAAATAAACATAACTATATATAAAATTACATCTAAACGTATGTACGTTTCGTTTCAAAGACGGGAGGACAGTAAATATTGAAGACTCTGCCATAATCCCGTT